ACACATAATGTCCATACATTTCACTATTATTGCGAAAAATGTCTCTACCTTTCATTCTTTGGTATTTTCACCTTTAGTCCCCATTTGTTTCTCATTTTTCATCCATAAAAATGAAAAATATGGCCATTATCTATCACATCAAACCATCAAACGAAATGGGTTTTGTTTTGGAATTCGCTGGCTTTAGTTGTTGGATCTGAATATTGTTAGGTGGGGTTGGGGAAGAAGATGAAGTGGGATGGGGAAGAAAATAAAATTTTAAAAAATTAAGATTGTTGGTGATACATATAAAAAAATTTCGTATAATTTGCAAAAAAATAAAAATTTTTGGTACTACAACTGTAATTATTCTTTTTAATTTTGATATTTTTACTGTTTTTAACGGTTAAACAATCAAAGTTTGATGGCATGGGGTATTTTGAACAAAAGGTTTGAAACAGGGACCTTTTATGGGATTTCCAAAAAAAAAAAACTTTGAGATGAAGAAACATAGAGGAAGGAATAAACCATCCATGACATAACTTCCTTTCACAGACGAGTGCTCAAAATTATTTGAATGAAAAGTCCATCGTTGTGCACACATAAAATGTCACGTCTTTTAGTACTGTTAATTATAATGATTATTCGTTAGATTAGCATGGTCTTTATGGTTTGATTCGTGCTCATTCATGAACGATATCTCTTAAGCATGTGACGTGTCTATCCTTCCCATCTAGTAGCTCAATTGGACCAATAAAACCTCTTTTTTCACAGGTCGGTTCATTTTTGAGTTTGTTTCATTAATTTCTTTTGAAAAATGAACCAAATCATAGCGAGCACTTACAGAGTCGAACCGGGATGAGTCCCACGAGAAAAGGGCTGAACCAAGTCTTGAAGACGAATCAAACTCGTGTATCTAAGGGCCGAATCGGCTCGACTTGACCCATTGCACCCCTATCTAATATGTATCTCTCAAACATGAGGCATTTTGATAAAACACAGACGTGATTTAGGGGATGTAAAATATAGGATCCCTCCCTGCTTAACAATCAGTGTCCTTGGAATCACATATTTGTTTGATTATGTTACCGCCTACAGATTAATTTTCTCAAACTTTCATGTGATCATATCAACTAGACCATAACTACTTTTTTGTTTTGTCTTGCCTGGATGCTTGCTTGCTCGTAGGGATGTTCTCAAGCATATACTAACTAATTAATTGATTAAATCTTAATTATAAGCTGCGTGAAAATACATAAATTTTCTTGTAAGTTTTGTCTGTTTTCTGTTATCATTTTAGTTTTTGTTTTCGAATAACCATGATACTTTAAATGGCAAATTCTTGTTTAATGGGATGATATTGAAGTTAATGGTATCCTATAAAATCTGAATGGATATGAGAAGAAAAAAAATACATCAAAATTTGCAGAAAAAATAAATCTTGCGATCAAAGGAAAAGAAATCATCATGTGCTATAGAGTAGAGTGCAAGAAATGTGGAAAATCTACATGGGGTGGATGTGGGAATCACACGAAAACCCATTATGGCAGTATTGGGGAAACACTGCATGTGCCAATCTTGGCCTGGGATTGTTATCCCATCTGAAAATCAAGACTTGAAAATTTCATCTTCAACCACCACATGTATAGATGACTAATTATTACGTTATCGTAATTTTCGTACAATATCAGTTCTCCTACGAGGAGTTTATATATCTGAAAAATTGAAAATGATGTAATGAAGGTGCTAGTCAAGAAAGTTGTATGTTTCAATCAGTATGGACGTTAGAAATTCTTGAATAAGTAATCGGCGTGCCAAATGTTTTGTTTTTTTTTTTTGCAAATATTCTGAAATCCGACATGATAAAATTAGGGATAATTTTTATAAGTGTTAATTATTGTAGTATTATATGGCATCATATAGTTATAGGGTGTCAATGCCCTCCAATAATCAGTTTAAGCGTTTAAACAAGAAAATGCCAAGATTTTATGGTATTAAAAAATCCACCAAATTGGCCAACAAGGCAAAGATTATAGTGCATAACAAGCCAAATTTAGACAGACCCTTCAAATTTTTTTGTCCGTAATTAGGACTTCATCATTTTCTTATCATAAAACAATTTTCTTACTATTTCATCGGCCGCTTCGATTGCTGAAATCGCTTAATTGAAGCCAAATCGAGACATTACTTGTTAACATTAAGGATGATATCATCTTATGTGGATGAAATTTGACCTGCGAGTTGATGGAGTGTGTTTAAAATTAAAGGCTATGATCGATGTCGCCTCATTGAATGTCAAATTTGATATCAAAGAAAATGTACATGTAACATGATTGAAAACTCAGACAATATCAAAAATAATGTTATGTTGTTTGAAACAAATCCATTGTGTGCAGTTTGTTTAATTAGGTCAATGTGCGTTGACCAACAAATAAATTTATGATAATATTTCGTGCCTTGTGCAGAGAGATTAAGTCACGGGGTTTGTGCTCTTTTGGCTCTGCTTTGTTACGATCTGTGTGTTTTGTTCTTTCCAATTCACTACTTAACGTTAAAGCAATTAATTAATAGTCCATATTTATTGACGGATAGAGACAATTGAACATTTTAAAAATTAATTGTGAATAGGGCCCCGTCCAATCCAATGCCAAATAACATTTCTATTAGACTAATGTTAAATAAAAATCTCTCTCTATATGCTATAAGGATAAGAACGATAGCACATGTTTGGTTGTGCTTAAAAAATTCACTTTTAAGTAAAAAGAAAGAGTAAGTAAGCTGTTTATTTTAATTTATAAATCTCTACCTAACCTAATAGAGGGGTTCGGATGCTCTTAATGGAGAAATAAAATTTATCGACGAGTTTTAATAGGAAAGGGATCGTTTAAATGCAAATTTTACAAATCACTAACTCTTATAAATGAGTAATGCTCTCTATTTTATCTACATTGCTAACATGTAGATGTAGTTATTTTAAATTTGGCATTTCATGCATGGAGGCAAAGGTCCACATAAAAATGCCTAATATGACAAATTCAGTTTGCACCATTTACTAAAAATCGTGCTACACAAACATCTTGATTGATATCTTGGATGATCGAACACACACACTTAGGGAGTTGGTCATTATGTTATTCACGCGGGACCCACACGTAATGTGAGGATCGATCACCTGATGAGTCAACCATTTTCGGATAAAGTGGTTTTAATCATTTACTAATCATTGCTAGTAAAAACACATGAATGCAGTAATAATTTTAACAGAAATAAAAATAGAATAAAACCTCAAAAGTAAAAATGAAGAGATTGGAAATTGATTGTTTTTGAAATTTGAAAATGGAATAATTAATGGTACAAACCCAACATCTCCTGTCAGTTCATTAATTTTGCAATTAATATATGCACAGGGTAGATATGCGATCAGTAATGGCAGGATGGTGGATGTCCGATTGTCTGCCATTTCAAATCAGTAACTTCGTCGGTATTTAAAATTAAAAAATAAAAAATTAAGAGATTGTTTGAGTCCAATTTTATTGTAATAATGCATTTTAAAATAATAAATTGATTGAGATTACGTGGTTAAAAAATAAAGAAAAGTTTTGAAATGGGTTTACGTATAATATTATTTTATTGAAAAATATATAACTGAAAAACAAATGCATTTTAGAAATGATGAGAATCAAACAAGCTCGAAGATAATTCCCACATGTACTGTTCATGCCACACGTATGACCAACTAAAACTAATAATATCAATACTTTCCATAAAATCAATTTACAAATATATGTTTGGTGCACATTTTAAGTTCAAGAATGCATTTTTTTGTTTGATGTAATGAAAAATATGTGGTCGAAAAAGAATGAAAAACTATTATTTTATTGAAGATTGTGATTGAAAATGAGTAGAAGTATGAAAATGAAAAAAAAAAATAATGTAGCTCAGACATAACTAGTAATTATAAGTGAATTATTGAGGGACAAACTAATTTTTTAGTAGACAGAAATATAATCTTAAGTCCCAAGTCATAGAAGAATCAAATAAATAATTTGTTATTGATGAATTAGAGGACCCACAATTGATGAACAAGGGTTGAGCCTCATACGCAATTAGGGGTTTTAAATTGGTCGAATCCACTCGCTCAAGCTAAGTATAACTTAGCTCGTCCCCACAAGCTCCTTGGTGGAATATATATTCTTGAATAATCCTTCAAGTAGATGATTTTTTTCGCAGATTTTGTTCTTCCTGTTATTTGTTGTCAAAAACTGTTTTTGCCAACAGCCAATCACAGGAAGACAGTTGTACAAAATCTGTGAAAAAATCATGTACTTATAGCGTGACCTATATTTTGTTTAGTGAAATTGCATTTTTCGATTATTATGAGGAACTTGCCCAACACACGAGTCAACTCGTGTGAATCGACAAGTGACTCACGAGAAATTTTATTTTCGACTCGTTAGTGGGGGCCAATCACACACCCATTACATTGCAACTTGAAATAATGAAAAGTTGTTTTGGGCAAAAAAAGAGTGAAAGCAAGAAAAAACAATGGGTTTTTTGGATGTTTAGCAGACAAATCATGATGATCACAATCATAAAAGCAACAACTCAAAATGTGTCTCATCAAAAGAGAAATTTAAAGTCACAATTCCTTTATGCAGTCCAACCATATCTTTCTTCTCTCCAATTCCTTCCAGAGAAGAAAAAAGAGAGGAGATTCTGGTCTAATAGAAGAAAAATCATTCAAATTTCATTACCCATCATCTCCCACTTGACTTTCTCGATTTCTGCCTCGCTTTCTTCTTCATTTCAATCAATTTGTTCTATCAACTCCTTCCAAAAATGAAAAAACCACTTTAGACTTGGCTTGATTTTCGACAAACATAATCATTTCATAAGACTTAAAACGCAGAAAGTGCAGTTGATTTTCGTACTTAGTCAAACCCCTTTTTCATGGATCTGTCTTAAGGCTTAGGTTTTCCAGCATAGATAAGGTTTATTGTTCAACGTTCAGTGACGCAAAAATGACCTCTGAAAATTCCAGTTCCAAAGGCCAAGCATGGTGACTGAAATCCTACTTTTATGAATTTTTTCTAGACAAATTTGGGGTTCTGATAATTTATTTCTGTTTCTTTTGAAGGTTCTGCACTACAGGATTACCAAGTGATGTTAAAATCGAAGTAGATGACATGACTTTCCATCTGCACAAGGTCAGTTCTGGGTTTCACCTCAATATTAGTCTATGATTTAGCTAATAATATCATTCTGTTTTGATTTTGATTGCTCTGAATATTCTTTCTTCTGCGTATTTTCAGTTTCCTCTGATGTCAAAAAGTAGAAAGCTTCACGAGCTGATAACAGAACAAGAGAAGAACCCAACAAGTAGAATCACTAGAATCCAAACCGCCTCTGAAACAAACCAGGGAATTGAAAATGACAATGAGGAGAAAGAAATCCATGAAGAAGACGAGGAGTTTCTTATCATACTCCCGGATTTTCCGGGCGGCTCTGAATCTTTCGAGACAGCCGCGAAATTCTGTTACGGTGTAAAAACTGATGTTTCCGCCTCCAACGTGGCTGCCCTCCGCTGCGCTGGAGAATACTTGGAAATGACTGAAGAGTACTCTGAAGAGAACCTCATTTCCAAGACAGAGAGGTTTCTTACTCACTCAGTACTTAAAAATATCAAAAACTGTATCAAGACTTTAACCTCCTGTGAAGGTCTTCTGCCTTTGGCAGAAAACCTGGGCATTGTTCAGAGATGTATTGATGCAATTGCTTCCAAAGCTGCATCTTCAGATCCGTCATTGTTTGGATGGCCAGTGAATGACGGAGCTGGAAACAGCAAAGGCGAGAATGAAAGGAGAAAAGTTGCTAATGCTACGAGAGGAGGAACTGGAATGGATTCATGGTTAAATGAGCTTGGACTATTGAGTTTGCCATTCTTCAAAAGATTGATTTTCGCCATGAAAGCTCTAAATCTAAGGGCGGAGATCATAGAGAGCTGTTTGATTTACTATGCCAAGAAATACATTCCTGGTATTTCGCGAACAAGCCGGAAGCCCTCGTCCTCTAATGTACCCTCGGAGAATGACCAGAGAGAGCTCTTGGAAACCGTAATTGCTAATCTTCCTGTAGAGAAAAGTTCGAATTCAACTTCGAATTCGATGAGAATTTTATTTGGATTATTACGAACTGCGAATATATTGAATGCTTCAGAAGTTTGTAGAGCAGCACTGGAGAAGAAAATTGGATCCCAATTAGAGCAAGCAACTTTGGACGATCTGCTCATTCCGAGTTATTCATATTTGAACGAAACATTATACGATGTTGATTGTGTGGAAAGAATTTTAAGATATTTTCTTGAAGATTTAGAGGACGGATCTGCGAATAGAATTGAAGGCGAAGAAAGATCTACGGCATTGATCTTAGTTGGAAAATTGATTGACGGTTACTTATCGGAAATCGCATCTGATGCTAATTTGAAGCAAGAAAAATTCTTCGATCTCGCCATTGCTTTGCCTGACCATGCCAGACTCTTCGATGACGGCCTTTATCGCGCCGTTGATGTTTATCTCAAGGTAAATTCGTTGAATTGGCATTATATTGAAGGCAAAAAAAAAAAAAACTTGCTTTTTGTTGATTGAGGATTTTGAATAAGCTATTTTCTGTTAATTTACATAGGCACATCCATGGATACCAGAGGCAGATAGAGAGAAGATTTGCGGAGTTTTGGATTGCCAGAAGCTAACATTAGAGGCGTGTACTCACGCCGCCCAAAACGAGCGGCTTCCACTTAGAGCAGTGGTTCAGGTGCTATTTTTCGAGCAGCTTCAGCTCCGGCACGCCATCACCGGTGGTTTCCTGGAGGCTGAAGCCGGTCTAACGGAGGCGGCCAACGGAGGAGGAGAAGAAGAGGAAGCGGTTGTAGTAGCACGCGCCCAAGAGGGGGGCAGCACGTGGGGGGCGGCCGTCAGGGAGAATCAGGTGCTGCGTCTCGACATGGATAGCATGCGGACGCGGGTGCACGAATTGGAGCAGGAGTGCTCCACCATGAAAAAAGCTATTGAGAAAATTGACAAGACAGATTCTAGTGGACACGTGGAGAGAGGTGGTTGGAGGACTTCGCTCACACGGAGGTTCGGGTGCAAATTCAAGACCCAAGTGTGTGACTCCCATGAGCCGGCGGTGAATGAGGCCAGAAAAGGCCGCAGCCACCGCCACCGCCACCGTCAGTAGACCCAAAATTTCTCCGGCATTCGTTTTTTGTTGTGTGAATACTTCATTATGGGATTTTTTTTTTCTTGTTTTTAATTGAATATTTCATTTATGAATTTTATCTGAGATATTTTATTTTTTTTTATTTGAGTTTGTGTAAATTTGGACGCAACTACATGAATGTAATTGTGCAAAAATGGATTGAATTGTCTGAGTGAACTCTCGGATTACAGGCATTTAATAAAAATCTAATAAATAGATGGGAATTTAGGATTAGATTTCTCAATTTGTCAAAAACTTATTTACATACCTATCTGATTAAAATTGATTGTGGAATTAAGTCCAGTGAAATCCTTTAAAGATCATCAACGGGAAATTAGTCGAACCTAACCTCTACTTCGATTTGTGGTACAAAATTCTTGAGTATTGGAATCGCTCGATCAACAATCCATATTTCGGCTCCTCAAAAGCCCACCGAAAGAAAGTTGATGCTCCCGAATACATAGCATTAGTTAACTTAAAGCAAGTAAACGATTTGAAATTCAAATTATTTCATAGAGTGATCAACATTTTGTATATTTTATTTTGAGAAATAATGTACATGTTGCTACAACACATGTCCCGACGCAACAATTAAAAAATCTAGACGAACATATCGTGTTTCCTATAAGACAATTTTTAAAAAATGGTGAATATTGCATTTGAGAAGTAAAAGGCGGGAAGGAATTATCAAATGGTAAAAAAATTTTAAAAAAAAGGGTTTTATAGGGGTGTGATATTAATGAGCATTTATTAAAGGGGGATAAATGTCAAACAGCTAAAAGTTTGGGAGGTAGTTCAAATTTCAAAGCGATCAGTTGGTCTCTACTTTTTAGGTAATGAGCTCTCAAGTTCAAAAAGCAAAGCAAATGGTCCATTGTACGTATTAGTGGAGTTCTGTCTGTCTGCACATTTTTTGTATACTAAAAGACAATTTCATGGCTACCTTGTAGTACTATTTTACTGTGTCGAAACTTTAAACATATTTCAATTAGATAATTGTCAGATTAATTATTGAATAATTATTTTGTTAACATTTCACAGGTCCATGAATGTCATACGTGACAATTTTTTTTGGTCAAACTAAAATTAATGAGACTTTAATATGAATAAAATTAATTTGACAGAAATACAAGATTTCATCGGTCGAGCCATGACACTCGTAAATAAAAATCCTAATTAGAAGGCCTTGATTTTTGTCGTGGAATGGTAGAAGGTTAAGTTGACGTTTAGATATCATTTCTTGTGATAATGCAATGTAGTTAGAAAATCTAACGTTTGGTTATTTTTGGTCTAATTTTGAACAGCGAGATAAATTTGAGGATTTTCGAGATGAACAGCGAGTATTGCAAAAAGTTCATTTTATTTTAAATAAATGGATTTTTAAAAAGTGAGTCAACGTCATTTCACATTATATGGCAGACAAGTAGGATTTTATGTTTTTATGTCTGTAAACATTTTGAAATGAAATCCTAACGATTGACTAAGAATTAATGCCATATTAATTTGAGTAACTATTGACAAAAATTTCGAAGTCAGAACATGGTGGAAAGTTCATAATTAACTCAAAACTGATCCTAGTCACAAAGGGCACTTCTGGCTTAGCTTTAAAAAGAATAAAATTATTTTTAAGTAACTTTTACCTCAACATTTTTTAACAACTTACTTACTTTTTATTTATTTATTTTGTAAGCATTAATTACTAACAAGTAATTTGATTGACAAAAACTTTAACAGAGATCCACACTACACTCTTGGCTGCAACCACGTAGTGCCACGCAAATAAACAAACAGTTGGATCCGTAAATTCGCACTGTTTTTCGTAGCCGCTCCACTTGTCCTAACCATGCCATCAATTAATTACTGCTAACAAACAGTTTTATTTTTTGAGTTTTGAATTCAGATCTGAACTATAACAGTAGAATTTGGATGTGACCTGAATTTCTTGTTGAAGAAATTGAAGAATTCTAATCGAAATGCACGTCAAGGAGAATTCAATTTTGGAATGCTATTGGAGTCCTATATTAAGTTGAAGCTCTATTTTGGAAGTTGGAAATTGATATTGGATTTGAAGAAGAATTTGGATGGAAAAAACAATTTGCCAAAAAAAAATAAAATCGGCAGATCCGGGCATGGGCGTCGCGGCGCCACCAGTGCCGTTCGGGTTTTTTTGCATTTTCTGCTCATACTTCGTCTTGGACTCCATTTTTTGATATCCTACTTTATCAATAACTTTGTCAAGTGGGCTTGGACATCCCCTACATGTTTTCTATAAATACTGGGTTATTTTATACAATTTTATAGTGTAAGAAAATAGATTACTAGAATTATAAGATTCATTATAATTTTTTCTCTTCTCCATTATTTTTTAGTCAATAAAATCTATTAATTCTCTTTTCATATTTTTTGTCTTTATTATTCTTTTACTTAATTAAATACTTCATTATTGTACCATATAACTTCAACATCTCCATTCGGTGGTTGATTTCATAATAAGTGATATCAAAACTATTCTGATGTCTTGTTTGTTTTAGAAGAGTAATAATGGGGAGAATGGACTATTTGGCCATGAAGACTGATCAAGAAACTACGCAACTGCTTGATTCAGATTTCAATGAGCTCAAGATGGTTGCCAAGAAACTCATTAATCATGCCACCAAATTGGGTGGCCTTGGCTTTGGGACTTGTTTACTCAAATGGGTTGCCTCTTTTGCTGCCATGTCAGTTTTTTATCTCACTATTTTTTTCAAATCGTACTTTTGCTTATTTTATCTTAAATTGAATTGCTTGTTGATTCGACTGTCTAGGTTCGTCTGATGTTATTATGATTGTCAGTTACATGAAAGTTATTGAAATGCTTGATTTGTTTGTTTTCATTTCTGGTCGAATCATAATGTGAATTTTGGTCAAGTTTATCATGATAATAAATCCAATGGTAATTGATGCGACCAAAATTTGCACCTTAATAATCTCGAAATGGAAGACGGGGGAATGAGCACGAACAAGATCCACTTGACGACTGGGAATGAGTGGAATTGGATCTCCGATTCCTGAAATATATGTCCTCGTCGTTTCCTCTGATGCTTAAATCAGAGACATAATTTACATGTAGGGATGTGAATTGAAAATTATTTAAAAATGTACTTAATTAATGAACCTTATCTATGTGTTTATAGAGGTTAGTGGTTAAATCCTAAAAGGATTGAAAAGTACGACATTCTTATCCTTTTTGTAAAAGGTGGTAGAGTTGTGATGAAATAGCATCTTTGAGTTTGATATGGAACAAGAGTCTATGTAATTGGATAAGGATCAAACATTATATGACACAATTGGGGTAAGATAAGAATTTTTATAGGGTACAAAGAAAGAGATCGGTCTTCATGGAAAAGCCCGAACTCTCCCAGCCCTAGCCCGATGTCCCAAAATGCTGCGATGGGAATGTTCGGGCTAAGAAGGTCTTCATGGAAAAGCCCGAACTCAACCAGCCCTAGCCCGATGTCCCAAAATGCTGCGTTGGGAATGTTCGGGCTTAGAGGGATCGTGTTCAGGAATTGATTTTGCACATATCACTAATCAGGATTGCCTTAATTAGTTGATTTGTAATTAGTATCAATTAGCATTGCTACCTTCTATGGTTGCCTTCTTCTTCTTTCTTAGGTCCAATGTTGTAATTGGCATGTTTGTGAACAAAATGGTCTTAATTGAACACTTGTAAAAAGTCAAGGACTTGGATGCAATTTTGTATAGATGAGTTAAGTTACAGTTAGAGGTTGAAAATAAGAAAAACATAGTGCTGGAATTTCGCTAAACTGTCACCAAGACTTGGTTCAAGCGTCAGAAACAGAAACTGTGTCGCTCGCCTTTCACTTCGTTGTCGTTCTCCCTCGCTCGAGTGACATATTTATGCTGCCATACCTAATTCGCGATTTTGAAGAGTTTTACACGGCTCATAACACTTAAGCGTCCTCAATTATAAATACAGATGTCTGGGACGAATTTCATGTGGTTGCTTAATTGTGCTTTCATTGTATAACGCATCCACATCATATTTTGAGAAATCCAAGAGCATAATTATTTGGTGATTCATCAGGTCTTCATGGAAAAGCCCGAACTCGACCAGCCCTAGCCCGATGTCCCAAAATGCTGCGTTGGGAATGTTCGGGCTTAGAGGGACCGTGTTCAGGAATTGATTTTGCACATATCACTAATCAGGATTGCCTTAATTAGTTGATTTGTAATTAGTATCAATTAGCATTGCTACCTTCTATGGTTGCCTTCTTCTCCTTTCTTAGGTCCAATGTTGTGTAATTGACATGTTTGTGAACAAAATGGTCTTAATTGAACACTTGTAAAAAGTCAAGGACTTGGATGCAATTTTGTATAGATGAGTTAAGTTACAGTTAGAGGTTGAAAATAAGAAAAACATAGTGCTGGGATTTCGCTAAACTGTCGCCAAGACTTGGTTCAAGCGTCAGAAACAGAAACTGTGTCGCTCGCCTTTCACTTCGTTGTCGCTCTCCCTCGCTCGAGTGACATTTATGTGGCCATACCTAATTCGCGATTTTGAAGAGTTTTACACGGCTCATAACACTTAAGCGTCCTCAACTAAAAATATAGATGTCTGGGACGAATTTCATGTGGTTGCTTAATTGTGCTTTCATTGTATAACGCATCCACATCATATTTTGAGAAATCCAAGAGCATAATTATTTGGTGATTCATCCATATCATTCTTGAGATCCGACAACCAAGTTTTGGAAAAACATCAAGATTCGTGAATTCAAAACACCTTACTTCCTTAACACTTTGAGGAAAATACTTTCTCAATTGGACTTCAGAAGTTTCTGGAGATTGAGAGAGGTTGGACTACAAGCGCATGAAGAAGATCGGGAGTCTGGAATTTACAGTGGATCTTGGAAGCTATAGGAGGTAGATCGGGAGATCTAGCAGGTTGGCTAGATAGTATTTACGGTAGCATATCG